TATTAAAGATAACTGAAGAGATAAGATACATACGATCCTTTTGCTATAAAGAACATTAATGAAACAATTGGCAAAGCTTGAATGCAGTCTGAAGATTAGATGGCAGAAATGAATCAATGTTAATTTCTTGATTTTGATGGTAGAATTGTGGTTATACAATGCCCTTAAGTGTAAAGAATTGGGGGGGGGTTGCAATGGGCCATCAGGTTGAAACTTACCCTCATATGATTTGTGAAAAAAACAAAAACAAAAACAAAAAACCTCTGTACTGTATTGCAACTTTTGTTAAGTTTCAGATTATTTCAGTATTTTTAAATATATATGTATGTATATATGTGCATGTATGTGTATATACACACAAAAGAATGGCATCTCAAAACTTTTCAGGGTTTTTTTTCCTATTAGAAATAACGCTTTAACGAACACCTTTACACATAACCCTGTACGTAAAATACTTTTGTGCACAAATTGTGTACACAAGAGATTTCTACAAGGTCAACAGATAAAGTGACATGCATTTGAGGCTATTATAAATTGAATTGTTTTTGTAGTTTTAAATTACAACTGCTCGTTGCTATTATATAAAAAGACAATTGATTTTTGTGTATTGGGTATTGTGTCCTACAGCCTTGCTAAATTCATTTATTTCTAGGTCATTTTTGTAGGTAGCTTAGTTTTCTATGCACACAATCATGTTGTCAGTGAATAAAGTCAATTTTGCTTCTTCCTTTGCAATTTTTACAACTTTAATTTGTCTTGCAACATTTAAAACCAGTAAACAAAGTGTGGAATGTTCGATTAAGGGTTTGAGACAATTTCTATACTAAGAGTTAAGCCCCTCTCTCACACGATACATGCACATAAACACAATTGCACAGTGAAGAAAAATGTAATAAAACTTTTAAAATATTGTTAGTAAATACAGAAAATTTTCTTATAACCATGGTTGAGAAAGATCATTCCAAGAGAGGTAAAATCCCCAAAGTCAAAAAAATAGACTGACAACTTTGGCTCCATAAAACTATAAAAACTGAAAGATACTATGGCAAGCAGTACTATAAACTTTAAACATATGGCACTGTCTTTGGGACTGGGTACTGGGAGAGACTGTGGGGAGTTCTAAGGTCACTGAAGAGACTGGCCTCTAGAATAATTGTTATCATCACATAAGCTAGAAGAGTGGGGAGGAAATTGGTATTACAAGCTGGATAAAGAATGACCTGCATTACGTATTAGCGGGACAATTAGCAAGACTTTGGAAGGTGCAAAATGTATTAATGAATTTTTGAACTTGCACAAGGTGATATTTAGGAAGCAAACTGCAAGTGCCTATTAGATTCCTTTAACTGCATAGAATTAGAGGTATCCCATAAATCTCAGTAAGAGTGTTCGTCTAGATTTAACTACAAATACTACGCGTATAATTGTTCATTATTGTTTCTATTATTTCTTTTGCTCCTCTTCCCCTATCTTGAGATCTTTGTTCTAATTTAATTCTCATTTGATTTCAGAGAGTGCCTTCTTAAATACATTTCCTCAGAAAGAGTATATGGATGGCATAACTCTGAGTCTTTATGTATCTGAAAATGTCTTTCTTTTATAAAAAAAAAATGAGTAAGATCTTTGTTGGGTTTAGGTTTTTTAGATATTGCCTTGAATAATCAGTAATTATTGTCCTTTTCTCTTCTAGGTCCCTGTGTTGCACATGAGCCATTCAATGCTTCTCTCTTCCTTGGCAAATAACTTTATCTTTTCTGTCTTAGATTAGGAGCCCGTAAAATTTTTTTCTGTATCCTTGAAATTTTGCCAGATAATATCTAAGAAGTATGTCTTAAAATAATCCTGTCTGGTACTCAGAGTCCTTTCCATTCAAAGCCCATACTCTTTCTTCAGTTTAGGAATGTTTTCTTTGGTTATTTCTTTATTACTAATTTATCTTTTTCTCACTCCCACTCCCTAATTCTGCAGTGACTACCATTCACATACTAAATCTCCTGGATATGTCCTCCATGTTGCTTTCCTAAAGTATTTACATTTCAGTAGTGACTACTCTATTTTTAAATTCATTTATTATATTTTTAACTGAAAATATTTTTTAAAAATTGGTTTAAAAAATTTTTTTTTAAACTTTCTCCTTTAATTTTATTTCTGTAAGAGTTCTCATTACATTTTTAATAAAGTTTACACTTGTGTAGACCATTAATTCTAACTCTACAGTAGCCATCTATTCTGGTTTCTTGGCTTAATATCCTTCCATCAAACTAACATTACTTTGAGTGGCTTGTGAATTTTCTCTGTATAAATCTCATTTTCCTTCCCTCATGCAAAGAGGGAATAAATATATAATTTGTAAGGATGTTTAAGAATTAAATGATAGACCCATACGTAGTTCTTTTTCTACAAAGTCTCTCCCCCCCCCTTTTTTTTTTTTGCAAAATGGGGCCTCACAGGAACTCTTGTGAGAAATGTAGATTCTCTCACCGTAACTGAGACCCACTGGATCAGAATCTATATCCTAACAACATCCTTAAGTGATTCTAATGTACACTACAGTTTACAAAGAGCTGATCTAGCCAATAATACATGGGAAATGATAATAATTTCTTAAAGAAACCACCTTTTTTACTTTTTTCATATATTAATATTTTATATGGTTTCTGTCCCCAAACTTATCAATACCCTGTTGTTGTTTGTTGTTTTAATTAGGCAAACTTTGGAATTTTGATTCCTTCATGATCTTTAGAGACTTTCCTTTATATTGAAAATATTAATAATAATAATAATAAATGAAATGTAAGGAATGCCAGCCTATTCTCATCACAGACTTTTCATAGCTCTAGTCTCTTCTCCAAGTAACCTCCAATTTGGGGAAAATGTACCTATGCCCAAAGCCAGGAGATGGGGACAAAAGTTGACACTGAAATCTACAGGAAAAAAAATCATGTCTATTTGCATTTCTATGGCACTTCACCAGCCTTTTTCTAGAACAGTGTTTTTGAGCTCTAAAAATAGAGATTAATAAGTTACCTTGCAACACTGTGATAACCAAATGAAGTATTATACGAAAAAGTTCCTAGTACAATTCCCAGCATATAATCAGTGCTCAAGAAATGTTAGTTGTTTCACTTCCTGTTCATCCTTACTCTACCGTAATTCCTTTTTAAATGCCTATATTCCACATTTGGCTGTGAACATCAGGAGGGACGCAGCTTACTTCTTCATATAGGCATATCATGAACATAGGACACATCCTCTAAATGAATGCTCAGTAAGTGGGTAAGGTATTTATCTGTAATCATAGTAATATAGACCTAATAAGTAATTTCTATCTTTAGCAATTTTTAGTAGTTTACTTAAACCAGGACTAATGATTGATTCAACGACTCATCAGTGGAATTATTAGACAAAGAATTACTGTGCATCTATCATGAATGAGGAACTATGATAGACACTGGGGACCTAAATGATAAGCAAAAAACAGGCACTCCCCATTTCAGAGGCATGATAGAGATCTCCAAACAGAACGTAAAACTGAATTGTAAGTACTGTAAGAGATACGCAGCGCTCTAAGAATGTGGTAGACTAAGAACCGCTCAGCAAAATCCCGTCTTACCGACATATTTTTCCTTGGTCAGCCATCTCACTATGGTCTACCATTATCTCATTGACTCTTTTACTGTTTCTCTTAAGTTGGAAAATCCCCTGAGGCATCGCTTCCAGAAAGCCGTGGTCAAAACAAAGCTCTTCCCCGAGGGAGAAGTTTGGGTGTAGACAGATGGATAAGGCTACTAGTATCTTCCTCATTCCTCTTCTATTAGTTAACATATCGATACTGATTATCTTATCAGAATAGTTTAGATGCTGTCACTTTGGGAAGACAAATGAGTCGTTACAACAGTTGAGTCAGTGTTTGTGCAATAATGGAGGCTCGAATCCCCAGGGAGGTGGGAGACACACTAAGCGCACCCAGCTGGGGAGCCTGGGTGATCCCAGTCAGGCTGTTAAAACTTCAACAGGGAGGACATTGGTTTCATCAAACTGTGGAGTGATGATGTCAAAGAAAAACACTTTATTCTACAATTTTATCTATAGTGGGCTGTTTCTTTTTTTTTTTTTAAGATTTTATTTATTTTACAGAGAGAGACACAGCGAGAGAGGGAACACAAGCAGGGGGAGCGGGAGAGGGAGAAGCGGGCTTCCCGCCGAGCAGGGAGCCCGATGTGGGACTCGATCCCAGGACCCTGGGATCATGACCTGAGCCGAAGGCAGATGCTTAACGACTGAGCCACCCAGGCGCCCCTATAGTGGGCTGTTTCTTAAATCCTCTCAAGCTGGTAACTATGTCTCGCCCCCACTCCCATCTATAATCCCCCAGCATGATAACACTTCTTTTTAAACTTGTGATTAAGTTTCAGGCCGACTAACGAAGGGGGGAAGTGGGTGGTATTTACTGATTCAGGAACTTTGTTTTTTTTTTTTAAGATTTTATTTATTTATTTGACAGAGAGAGAGACAGCAAGAGCAGGAACACAAGCAGGGGGAGCGGGAGAGGCAGAAGCAGGCTTCCCGCCGAGCAGGGAGCCCGATGTGGGGCTCGATCCCAGGACCCTGGGATCACGACCTGAGCCGAAGGCAGACGCTTAACGACTGAGCCACCCAGGCGCCCCTCACACCATTTCTTTCTTTCTTTCTTTTTTTTATTTTATTTTATTTTTTTAAAAGATTTTATTTATTTATTTGAGAGAGAGAGAGACAGCGAGAGAGGGAACACAAGCAGGGGGAGCGGGAGAGGCAGAAGCAGGCTTCCCGCCGAGCAGGGAGCCCGATGTGGGGCTCGATCCCAGGACCCCGGGATCACGACCTGAGCCGAAGGCAGACGCTTAGCGACTGAGCCACCCAGGCGCCCTGATTCAGGAACTTTGTTAATAGGAAACTCCTGCTGAGGATCACCTGGCTGGGGGGAAGACAGCCCTCTGCGCTGTTCCTCGTTGACGCCTTACCTGTTCCTGAAGTAGTACTGCTGAGCTACGAACTCCGACCGAGCTTGCAGCCGAGCTAACGTGGCCATCGCCTCCCGGCGGCTGCCCGAGAGCGGGTGTTACATCGGTCTCCACGGCAACCGGGCTAAACCATAATGCGGGCCCCGGGGGTTCAACTTCTCGTGGACTCCACTGTTATTTTCCACCCCGTTTCAGTTTGCAGAATACTAGCAGAAAAATTAAGAAATCTATGTAGGAAAAGGTTCCTGGGATTCGCCTCTCTCTTTTCTGTGAGCAGAAGGAAGAGACTCCAGGCGAGGAGGGCGGTGGGGGAGGAGAGGGAATGGTTGCTCCCGGCATCCGGTTTCCGCCTCCCGCCTGCTTCCGGAAGCTCCGCTCAAAATGCTGAACTGCTCTTGGAAGTCGCTGGTGCTCTGGTAGTTGGAGTCTGTTCTCGGGCCGGAGCCTCGAGGCCAGGCGCCTGGGTGTCGTTAATGTTCGGGGCCGCCGGGCGCCAACCGATCGGAGCTCCAGCCGCCGGGAACAGCTGGTGAGGCTGGCGGCCCTGAGGGTGGGAGATCAGGAAAGGGTGTGAGGGCCGGAGGCCGCTGGACCTGGAATGGAGGGGGAGGGAGTTGTGATGGATGATCTGAAGACACTTAGGCCTTGCTCTCACTCGTGCCTGGGACGGAAGCGATTTGAGGAAGGCGTTGAGGTGTGTGCTAAAGATCTGTGAAGGGATACAGTAAATGCTTTCTGATTGCCTAACACTCTGCGGTATTTTGGGAGTAAAGGTCTCTCTCTAGTTCGAGAGCAGTTCATCTCGTTGATTGTTGACAAGGCTAGGGACAAAAGAATTTCTGTTAACATAGGCCTTATTCCCTCACTTCCCTTTTTTAATTTACTAGATTATACCAAGTGTCTTGGAAGATCAAATCCCAGAATTGTAGAGTTCTGGAAGTTTAGTGCTGGAAGAGACCTCCTCACCCACACACACACACTCTTTTTTTTTTTTTTTTTTTTTTTGCAGTGGGAGTGACCTACCTGTTTCTACTCCTTGAAAGTTCCATTCTAGTTCAAATGAGACATGTATGAGTGTTCCCTAAGAACATATAAATGCCAGGATTTGTTTGGGGTTTGACTGTGTCTGCAGTACCCCATCACCAGTGCCCCTTTGGAATAATTGCTTTGACTTTTCAAAGTGCTTTCACAAATTAATGCGCTTTATCTTCATGACAGTGCTGTGACAGGAGATTATCACGAGCACAAGTGAGCTGTCCAAAATTGCCATGCACATTCTGGGGCTAGAAGCTGGGTTTTGGATTTCTGTATTTGGAAAACTCTGTGATGCCAGGCCTATTTTCCCCCAAGACCCTTTCCTCCAGGCATACACAGGACAAGCAGTGAAACGAGCAAATTTCCCACTGACAGTGTCAAACAAGAAGCATTGAAAAACAGGTGAACTATGGCTGAAAAAATGTATGTCCATTCTTAGATTCTGCAGAGAATGAGACCTTGAAGGATTCTAGGAGTCTGTGATCTCAAAGATGTTCTTTGCATCACCTATCACTACAAGTGAAAAGAATATCTTGCCTAAAATGTTTTGAATGAGATTAGATCATTCTGTAGAACCTTTTATAATGGGGATAGATTTGGTGATACTTTTAAAATCTCACATTTTCCAGTGAGAAAGCAGGAAGTACTTTTTTAAATGAGCCATATTTTTTAATGGTGTCCTATGGCATTAGCATAAAATAAAACCCTTCTTACGTGTTTAGTATTTTTAGTTTTGACAATTGTATATATTGTGTCATCACCACACAAAACAAGATATATAGGACATTTCCATTACCCCTGAATTCCCTCTTCAGTAATCTAGTAGGTGCCTTTCTTAATGTTTTGCCATTCGATCAATACCTTGTTAAGGGAGCGAGACAAAATGTGCTATATAGATTGGTCTGCTCTTGCTGTAGTGATACTGATGTGTAGGATAGATGACTATTTAATTAAAAAGTATGACTTCCTCTCCCTTTCACCTTCTACCCAGATTATAGTTAGGTAACTCCTTATGATACAGAGAAACCGTCCTTCAGTTCTCTTAAAGTGCTTATCTTATTTTTAGTTATCAGCATAGAATTCATTCATTCTTATGGCATCAGAGTACAACATAGTGCCTAGCGCTTAATCAGTGCTTCTGAATGAAATTCTTTTCCTTCATTGATCAGACATTTACCATACTATGAGTGTATTATGTTTTATCCCAGTTATGAAGTCTCAGTGCCACCAGGGATGCTACTACTGAGTCGTTACTTAGTGCCAGGTTTTATGGACATATATCTCCTGTAAACCTTTTGAGATGGGTGCTATCGTTTTTTTTGCATTTTAGAAATGGTGAAACAGGAACAAATATAGTTTAAATAACTAGCCCAAATACCATATTCGCATCGTGATCCTGGTATATCTAAAAACAAATCTTAACCATCCTGGTATATGTCCTATTTGTCTGACTACGGTACGCTATTTCAGGAATATCTAAACTGGAAAGAATATGCTGATTTTTTAACTCACCTAGAATTCCTGTTAGACTGACGTCCCATCTTGACTTCAACTTTTTCTCCAATGTCAAGGTTAGATTTTCAGTTTTTAGGCACCAAATGGGTAAATAATAGATGATTTATCTTTCTTTAACAATTTGTTGAAAGTAGAACTGATATTTTATTTTGTAATTTATTCCTAATTACAAGTTTTATACAATTAAATAATAAAAATCCTATGATTTTTGTGTATGTCAGGAAATGAATATATTTTTTGTGCAAGTTGTTCCTGTAAGTGGTTTATATTATATTTTTACAAAACATAGCTGAGAGTGTCTGTCTCCTTTTCCTGCCTCATTATTCACATACAATTTTGAAATTAAGGGCCAAAAAGCATAAGTATTTTGGTAAATTGTAAACCTGCCTTTTAAAATTTGATTAATTTAATGGATAGATCATACTTATAATTTAGATACACTTTTACTACTTTTTACTTTATTAGTGACTAATATTTAAAGTCAATTTCTGGTTGGTTTTTGAGATTCTAAAGGTTGAACTAAACAAATTTTACAATTAAGTCCTTGATGAAAATACTGAATTATTATTGATAATATGAACTAAACTATAGATTTAAATTTATGTGGTTTGCTTTAAAAAAAAAAAAAAAAAAAACCTTAAGAATAAACTATATTAATTCTGGATCTTTTTTTCTTTTTTCTGTAGTTTCATTCCTATTTAGTTATTATTTGGATCTTTAGGTCTGAAAAACTGCATAGTGGAAAATGTGCATTTTTTTTAAATAAATGCCTATTTTTTTTTTTTTGTCATTTTATCTTGAGGTGAATGCAATACTATCAGGTATGTTTGAGTCAGGTTTCTGTTTCAACAATGAGGAATCAAAGCAATGGCCAGTGTGATTTTGGCCAAGGAACTCATTAATATTAGTATAGCTTCTTAGCATTTTTATGAATGTCAAGCTGGAAACTTTTAAACCATCTTTGATGATTTATCCTTTACCACCACATTTACTTAGCTAAAAAATTAAGAGTGTCTGCCTTGTTAATGTGGCAGAAAATTTGAAATCTGGATTGTCTAAATTTTTAGTGAAGTCATACTTTTTCCTGTTATTCATTCCTTCATTCATTTAATCATTCATTGGTCTGTTCATCCAACAGATCTTTTTTTAACATCTGTTCTGTGTCAAGCATTATGCTAGATACTTGTAATAAATATTAAGTTGTCTTCATTCTTATTCTAGAAATTCAGAATATATTATATATTCAATAAATATTGAATAGTTACCATGTATGATCAATGAATGAGACTCATCTGATACATATTAGAAACTTGCCTAGATGTGCTCTAATATATGCAAGTTGACATGAATTGGAATGAATTATTTTTTAGACGCTAAATTATTTGTTTGTTTTAGACTTCGTCTTTATTTCATTTAGGCAGCTTCTTATTCGGTAGTTTACATTTGGAAAGTGATTAGAGTGTAAGAAGTTTTGAATGACTCTTGAAGTCGTTAAATTAAGTTGAAATCAGAAGAATGTTTTTCAAATTTAAAGAATAAATGAGCTTGCCTTATTAAATGACTATCTGGAAAGTAGAATTAATACTTTTTTCTAAAGCCATGTATGATTTTTTTTTTCCCCCCAGATGGCTCGTTAAGGAGGAAAGAAGGCTTTCTGGGTGTTCCTGTGGTAACAAAATAGCAATTGCCATTAGCACCTCCAGTTGAGTGCAAGTTAGGGGAGCTTTGGGGCCCATTATAGGAAATGAGCTTTTTCTCTTTGGTAGAGAACCTGAGACTGTTCACTTGGAAGGATGATTTTCTATAATTTATTTTTTTTATATTTGTATATCTGTATAGGACTAACTCAGATACACAGCAGTCATTTTTTGTTTTTTAGTTGTTTTTTTTAAGATCCTTGAAAATCTTTAAGGCGTGCACAAATTTCTTGAAATTGCATGCAAGATTTTTGCAAATGTCTTTTATTCCCCTTCTCCCCATGATTCACAGTGGTTCAAGAACACAGAAAGGATAAGGTCTGTGCTTTTATTATTACATCCTCAGGACTCAGTGTGGTATGTATCATATTCATTGATCATACATGGTAACTATTCAATATTTATTGAATATATAATATCCAGGTAGTGTGGTTCTACCTTAAAAGCAAAATGATTTGGTATTTCAGTGACCACTTTATTTGGTATAGAGGTTGTTGAAAGATGAAATAACTGCTCTCACACATAAGTATCCACTCTCATCCCACAGAATCCCTTCAAGGTAGAAATTATAGCATTTTTATGATGAATAAACAAAATCAGAAAATAAGTAATTTGTTCCAGGTTCTCTGGCTAATAGTCAAATTTAGCTTCCAGATTCAGAGATTTGACTTTAAAGCTCCTGTTCTCTACAGGTTCCTCCCAGCCTTTTCGCCCACCTAGAGAATTCTGTTCCATATGCATTGGCTAGTGTTAATGTAAAGTTACAATTATTTACATGTTTCATAATAAGATATGTTCCCCTACCTCCCTGCTACCTCTTTCAAAAAGAGAAAAAGTTAATTCTGGTTAATGGTTTAAATAGGTAGGTCAAGGAATTTCTAAACTAGCTTAAATGTTAACATTTAATGTTAGGGTTATTCTGTTTTTCCTAAGATGGCCTTCCCCAAGATATATAAAAGGATTTAAATTCTGTTAATCATTCAATAGGTTACTAGACTGAGATAAAGACTTACTTTGACAAATATATTACCACTAAAGAAGGGAATTTATAAATTGTCATGAGCAGCAGAAATTTTAATCAAACTTAAAATAATTCTCGCAGATAATATTTTGTTGAATTAGTCATGAAATTTAGCCCTTGATGTGGCATCTTTAAGGCTCACTGTTTGCATGTTTTAGTCACCCATTGTCTTGATCTATACTCTTATATGTTAATTTTAATTTGTACTTTTATGACCAAAGAACCTTTCCTTTCTTAAGTAAAAGGTAACATGAATATCGA